TCTGTATGTCTTTTAAAGTATTGTTTTTGCACCTTTGCTGCCAGATTTTTGCAGTTTTTGTGTAGAGACCAGAACTGAAGCAGTCGGTGAACGTTTCTGGACCAGACAGTCGAGGAGCTGCTGCAGTTTGTGGCTTCGTTTTTTAGCGGCTTAGTTGCACTTTATTATTTTAACAAACTGAAACTGAAACCACAGAAGGTGAAACCAGAGCTCCCATCGGTTCCAGCTAAGATATGCAGTGTTTTAAGATAACTTCCTGGAGTGTGCAGAGAGAAAATCAATCTGGAGAGCAGCTAAAGACAGACGAGCAGAAAACCAGTCTGAACATGAAAGGAGGAAACAGGACCGAGATGAGAGCAGGGAGAGGAGGATGAGGAGCAGGACGAAGAGCAGGAGGTAACGGGGAGCCTGAATCAGATCGGCTTCCTCACACAGAGCGAACCATCTGTCCACCGCCAGCACTGTGTGTGTGTGTGTGTGTGTGTGTGTGTGTGTGTGTGTGTGTGTTGTGTGTGTGTGTGTTCACTTACGGTAAATGAGTAATGTGAGCATCCAGGCAGCCTGAGTGTGATTCACTGTCATTAGATTCACTGTTTAGATCGTTTCAGCTCAGATTCAGGCTTCGTTAGACGGAGCGTTGCTGCAGCATTGTGTGGACGTTGTGTGGACATTGTGTGGATGCTGTGTGGATATTGCAAATAAGTGCAAAGACACAAAAACTGACTAAAAGATTCAAACAAAGAGTCACCAAAGGGCTCCAGACAGACAGGAAACACCCGCAACACAAAAGAAAATAACCGCAAAGATGCAAAAATGACCTCATAAAGACACAAAATGACCACAAAGAGACTCAAAAGAACCTTAAAGTGACACACAATGACCACAAACATTCGCAAAACAAACACGGACACAAATACAAACAAACACACAATGACAAAAACGAGACACATCACCCCAAAAAAGACTCAAAATGACCACAAACTGATGCAGGACAGAAGCTGCTGCCGATGGAGACGTGAACTGTGGGAGTCTGTGGGACAAACGTCTTCTATTTATAGCTCATAGCTGAGCGTCCTGAGGGACGCTGCACACAGACACACTGAGAGTCCCTCTGGCCTCCGGGTCAAACAGCCAGACTGAGCTGTTCTACGGCGGCTGGGACCAGGTTTTGTTACGGACCTAGAACAGAGACGCTAGAGGTTGTCAATGAAACATAAAAATAAAAGTTGATCTTCATGTCTGAGGGGAGGGGCCAGGAGCACCTCATTTACATATCATTTGCATACCAAGGAACCTGCAGGTCGGTGACCGTCATGACTGCAAGTTCAGGCCACACAGTCCTGCTCTACGGTGGCCCAGAAGTGTCACAACAAAACAAAAGACACAACACAACACAATTAGCTGCAACACTACAAAATTAACCACAACACAACCAAATTAACCACAACACAACCAAATTAACCACAACACAACCAAATTAACCACAACACTACAAAATTAACCACAACACAACCAAATTAACCACAACACTACAAAATTAACCACAACACTAGAAAATTAACCACAACACTACAAAATAAGCTGCAACACAACACAACGGCTGCAACGTGTTGCGGCTAATTGTGTTGTGTTGTGGTTAATTTTGTAGTGTTGTGGCTAATAACACAACACAATAAGCCACAACGCTACAAAATAAGCCGCAACACAACACAACGGCTGCAACGGAAGTTTCCACATTAACAAGTCAAACAAGCAATGACTCTTTATTTGTAAATCAAAGTTAACAACCGCCTTAAAAGCGCATACCGAGATTAATGGACACTATTTGCCATCAGTATTTTACTTACTTTCAAGTTGTTTTCAACAATCTCCGGCTTCTGCCCACTTCATGTGGTTGCGCACTTCACAGTATAACTTCTGGATTAAAAAAAACAACTTCTGTTGCAGCTGTTGTGTTGTGTTGCGGCTTATTTTGTAGTGTTGTGGTTAATTTGGTTGTGTTGTGGCTTATTTTGTAGTGTTGTGGTTAATTTGGTTGTGTTGTGGCTTATTGTGTTGTGTTGTGGCTTTTGTTTTGTTGTGACACTTCTGGGCCACCGTACTGCTCTGTAATATGAAAATAATGAACATGTGTATATTCTGAGGTTTCTGAGATCGCCATACAACCTTTATTTAATGTTTCAGAGGCGATGAAACATTAAATAATAATAAAGAGACACAAAACAACCACAAAGAGACACAAAACAACCACAAAGAGACACAAAATTACCTCAAAAAGACACAAAACAACCACATAGAGACACAAAACAACCACATAGAGACACAAAATTACCTCAAAAAGACACAAACAGATTCAAAGAGACACAAAAAAACATTTTTTTTTAAGGGAAATTCAAACAAAATAGAAAAAAACCTGGAAGAACGTCTAACCTGCACTGACACCAAACAGAGGCACATTTTCCAGATGTCAGGAAAGGAAACTCCTTGATGCAAGCTGGTATTAGTCTGTTGTTCTGTTTTGACCTCAGCAGCCCAGACAGCAGCTTGAGAAGCTGTGAAGTTGTGAAATATTAAGGTTCAGTCTGAGGTCTGCATGCGGCTGTGATAGCAAGAAGATGCTCTTATTGTGAAGGAATCAGAACTGCAGACGGGGCAGCACACGATTCTGGAGCTGGTTCTGTTGTGGCAGGTGGGACTTTTAATCGGTTACAGGATAGCGAGGCCCAGACGGCGGCGTCGCCTCCCGTTTGGAAGGTGGAGGTGGACGGAGTCAGGTAGCAGCTCGTGAATGGGAGGGTTTGTGGAAAAAGCCTTCGGCACAAAGAGGGCATTTAGAGAGCGAGGGGCCACATCTGGAGGGGAACTGAAATACCAGCCAATTAACCACAACACCTTATCCTCGCTGCGAGCAGCCGACATCACTGCAGCTTCTCCTGCTTTCACCATGTGCTGCTGCTGCTTTTATGCCCAGTGACATTTGAGATGCTTTTAATTAACCTGTCGAGTAATTTTTAGACAGATAATGGGGCA